CTCTCTCTCTCTCTCTCTCTCTCACTCTCTCTCTCTGTCTGCCTGTCTCATTGATCCACATCTTCACTACCCTTGGAAATGCATTTTGCGAAAGAGATGTTTGTATAAAAGCTAATCCCCCGCCCCCCTCCCCCCTCACACACAAACATCCCAGCGTCCTTTGTCTCGTCCCCCTCCATCAAGTGCTTGGTGTTGTACATAAAATTAATTTTAATTTTTCTGATTTACCGGGTAGTTAAAAATGAAGTTAAGATGAATAACAACCAATGATAGAAATTAAAATAAATTGTAATGTAGCATACCTTTTATTCTTACAACAACGGAGCCATACGAGATTTAGCTCTAGCAAAACTGTCAATTATTGGTTCGTAGTCCAATTTTCGAGCTGGACTGGCCTCTATCATACTCTGTGGCCAAAACTCCAAGACTTGTGAGTCTGTCTTGACGCATTGTGGACAGCAAAATGTTTTTCACCCGAGAAAGGGTACCGAAGGAACGTCCAGCTTGCGCAACTGTGACAGACAAGGTGCAGAAGATTCTCAATATGATTACAACGTTCGGAAACAAAGCATCCAGTTTCAGGGAATGACGTCTGTTCAGCAACTGAAGAGGCGGCAGGACTTTTTCTCCAATGTTCGCTGAATGAATCACTTTTAAATGTTCCAACTCTGGTGCAAGGTCTGCTGATGTTCGCATCATGTCATTGCCTTTCTCATCCTGGATCAGGATATAGGCCACGAACAAACACTCTCCACCTTTCCCTATCCAGGGCGAGTCGCTTGATGTCACTCCATGTCTTCCTACTTTTCTGTACACCCATTTCTTTAACTGTTCCCCAAGTTCCAGGCGGTCTTCCCCTTGATCTTTGACCCTGTGGGTTCCAATCTAACACTTTCTTTGTTATGTAGCTGCTTAATGACTTCTTGAGAGTGTGTCCAATCCATCGCCACAACGCCTTCTTCCCACCTCATCTCTGACTGGGCTCTGTCTCGTTCTCCATAATACTTCCTCGTTGGTGATCCTGTCTGTCCATCTGATCCTCAGTAGCTTCTTCAGACACTTGTTCAAGAAAATCTGGTTCCTCTTTATGCACATCTGAGATGCGTTCCATGTCTCTCATCCATGCAACACGGCTGACTTCACATTTGAGGGCGCGCGCGCGCGCGTGTGT